TTCAAGGGAAGAAGAGGCTCCGAGAACTGACGAAGAGAGACAGAGATGAAACTTTGCTGTGCTGCTTTGCCGCCTGGAAGCAGAGGAAACATGGAGGCACTTTGCCCTCCTCAGACCTATATCAGCAATATTCCATCTTTTTGCGCGTTGCGAAAGTCAAGCTTGCGGCAGATTACTACAACAAGACATGTACACTGCGCAGCAGATTGAAACGCAACAAGCAGCAACTTCTTCGACAACGCATTGACCAACTTCCTCAAGGGGCTTCAGCTTCACAGATTCTGCATGAATTGAAGCCCATTTTGGGCCCCTCCAATCTGCGCAAATTGAAAGTGCGCACTCTGCCGCATGTGAGAAAGGAGAATGGAGAAGTTTGCACGCTTCCAAGTGAAGCCATTGAGACGTGGATGACCTTTTTCAGCACCATGGAAGGAGGAGTTCGGCTTGATCTTGAGACGCAACGCGAAATATGGATCAGGAATTTGCAGAACTTCCAACAGAGTGCCTTCCACATTGATGCGAATGAATTTCCGAGGTTGCTGGACCTGGAAGCGGCATACCGCCGCGTGAATCCTCACAAGGCGACGGGACCAGATCGTATTCACCCACGGTTTTGTTGTGCAGCACCACACAAACTGGCCCGCAAGATGTATGGAGCCCTGCTCAAGCTCACGACGCACGGACAAGAGGCGTTGGAGCACAAAGGGGGCTTGCTAGAGCCCGTTTGGAAAGCCAAAGGAGCGAAGGACTCCTGCACATCTTATCGCAGCATCCTCATATCCAGTCACATTGGGAAGAGTCTGCATCGTAGCATACGACAACATCAGACCACTTTGTTCACCAGCTACCTGCAGAGGGAGCAAATCGGAGGCAGACCCCGTGCTCCGGTCACTTTGGGTGTCCACATTGGTCGTGCGTTTTTGCGAGGGCGCAAGGGCAGAGGACACAACGTATCGATGCTCTACCTTGACCTGACAGAAGCATTCTATCGTATATTGAGGCCTCTGATTGTTGGCGGTGACATCAATGATGAGTTGATCCTCTACGTAGGGGCGCGACTTGGCATGTCTTCAGATCTTCTCGAAGACCTACACCGACACCTCGTGGAACCGCCGGCCATTGTCAGAGCAGGGTTGCCGGAGCATTTGTGCAACACGCTGCGAGCGCTGCATGAGGACACACATTTTCATGTTCAGGGTCAATTTGACCGATGCCGGACGACACTCGGTTCCAGACCGGGTGATTGTTTTGCTGATGTGATCTTCTCGTATTTATGGTCTGGCATTCTGACCAAGCTCCAGGACCAGCTGAAGGCACTTGGGTTTGGGGAGAACATTCCGTGTCATGAAGGCATCCTTGTCTCCGAGCAGAGTTGGCCAGAAGATGCCCCTAGTGTTGATTTTCTAGGGCCAACGTGGATGGACGACACCTGCATATGCCTTTCAGATGCTGATCCCTTTGTCCTGGAGCAAAAGACAACTCAAGCGGCAGGAGCGTTGTTGGCACTCTGTGAATCGCATGGACTCACACCCAATCTCTCGGCAGGAAAGACAGAAGTTTTGATGGTTTTTCAAGGCCGCAAATCACGTCAAATGAAGTTGAAGTACTTCGGCCCGGATGGAGTGAATGGCATCACGGTCGTGGGAGAAATGGGCATGAAGCAGATCCGAGTTGTGAGCCATTACACGCATTTGGGCTGTGTGCTCCACCACAAGTCTGACAACCGCCGAGAGGCCAAGCGCAGAATTGGCATTGCACAGCAGGCGTTCTCACAACACCGGAGACACTTGCTTCAGAACGGGCTTCTTTGTCAAGCTCGCCGTATTGAGCTCTTCAAGAGCCTCATCATGAGCAAGTTCAGCTATGGTACCGAGTCATGGACCTTTGAGGATTGCAAGAGCAAAGAGTACGTTCACAATGCCCTGATGAGGTTATTGAAACGCCTCCTACGTGCAGGACATGCAGATCATCTTCGCGATGTGGACATCCTTGTGGGGACGGGAATGAACAGCCCTACAGAAATTCTCCGCATAGCGCGTTTGAGGTACTTGGGTACCCTCTACAGATGTAAGGACCTGGTGCCATGGGGGGTCCTGAATGGAGACAGTGCATGGTGCTCCCTGGTTGCAGATGATCTCAAGTGGATGTGGCAGCAACTGCGTGATGCATCGCACCTTCCTGATCCTGAAGAGTCACTTGGTATTTGGCAAGACCTCTGGATCCACCACCCGTCTTACTGGAAAAGACTTGTACGGAGATCTGGAGAACATGCGATACTACAGCGGCAACGAGAACATCGAGTTGACGTTTTTCATGAAGGTTTCAGGAAAAGCTTCATCCAAGTTCATCCTGCGATCTTTGCAGAGCGCGAGGAGCAGAGCGAGGGCGATGCATGCGATGAGACTTTTGCATGTATGCAGTGCCGACGCGTCTTTCTCAGCAAAGGGGGATTGGGCGCACACCTTTTCAAGAAGCACGGAGTTTTTGCGAAGGTCCGTCTTCTTTTTGCTGGCACCAACTGCGGAGCATGCTTGAGAGAGTTCCACACACATAGCAAGCTTCAGGCACATCTGCGGTATTCAACCAGATGCCAGCAAAAATTATGGGGTCGCCGTCGGTACAATGCTCCCGTGAGTGGAACAGGGTCTACGTGCGATCAACAGTTATGTCTTCATCATGATGGCATCCTTCCGCCGATCCAGGGAGCGGGACCTCTTCTACCTGATGGACCTCTTGAGGCCATACCGGAGCATGATTTAGAACTGGCTGAAAAGATTTACTTGGCCTTGGTTGAGTGTGAGGATAAGTTTCTGGTTGAGCACACGGTGAGGGAATGCACTTCCTCGCAGGCGATATCCTGGCACACACTGAAGGCGACTCTTCACTACATGATTGAGGAGATGACCACAGAGGACGTCGCGGTCTTGAATTTTGAGGACTTTGACGTCAAGGCGATTATGCGCGAGCTCACGCTGGAGAAGGCATGGGACTTCCTGCAGGACACGGCTCACAAGAAGATGACAGCGAATCATGTCGAGCGTCGAGAAGCTTGTGAGCGGGCGTGTCTGGAAGGTGTTGACCTTGCCGGTGATAGAGGACTGCTTTGGCCAGTTCCCAGACCAATGGGCAAGGAGCGCTATGTGATTCACGCGTTCTCTGGCCGTCGTCGGGCCGGAGATTTTCAACACTTCGTTGACAAAGCGCAGCAAGAGTTTCCCGAGACGCTTATATACACCATCTCCCTTGATATCATGGTCAACTCTGAATGGGGCGACATTTCCAAGAAGGATGTGAGGGAGTTTTGGTTAGGGGCGGTGAAGGAGCGCTACGTGGTTGGAGCTTTCGCGGGCCCTCCGTGCGAGACGTGGAGCAAGGCGAGAGGCAGACAAGCTGATGAGCCGGAGACCATGGTGGAGAAGCGTGGCCCTCGCATTCTTCGCGAAGCGGATTCACTATGGGGGCGTGCTTCTTTGGCGCTCCGTGAGGTTCGACAGCTGGATACGGGGAATCTCTTGCTTCTTTTCACTTTGGAGCTCCTCATCACTCTGGCGCTTGAGGGAGGCATCGGAGGCATGGAGCATCCTGCTCCACCGGAAGAGCAGGACAAAGCGAGTGTGTGGAGATTGCCCGTGATCGAGTTCCTGATGGCGTGGCCGGAATTCAATTTTGTAGAAGTCTCGCCGGGTTTATGGGGTGCTCCCAGCCGTAAACCCACAGGGCTTCTGTTGCTAAATATGCAACACATGATTGTCCAGCTTAGAAGCTGGCAAACTGCCACTGAGAATCCAAGAGGGGTTTCCATTGGCAAAACAAAGGACGGTTTTTGGGCGACTTCCTTTCTCAAGGAGTACCCCCCAGCTTTTTGTGCAGGTTTAGCGGGAGGGTTCGTACAGACCTTGAGGGAGCACCCAATTGATTTCACGGTGACGCCTGCTGAGAATTTCCGTCGACTTGCACAGGACATGATAGTGTCAGACATGGGACACTTCGCGGGTCCGGATTTCGCGACATAGAGGCTTTGTCACCATTTTCCAGAATTTATGCTAGGCCGCAGCTGACGCTCCTTTGAGCCTTGAGGGAAAAAATAGTATAGATTGCAATAGCCTCCAGTGTCATCAAACATGGCTAGCTGGGATGCTTTTTGACATCCCCACATGGGACATGTGGTCCGTTGACCAAGGCCATGACGACTAGTCCAATATATATATATATATATAGTCAAATGGGCTTGATTACCTGGTTTGATATAGTTAAAATGGGCTTTATATATAGTTATATTAATATATAGTTAAAATGGTTTAACATTTATATATAGTTAAATGGGCTTGATAGAATCCCGTCCTCCTATTATTAAACACCCCCATTCTATGGTCCCAATTATGTGGAAATCCCCTACTAAACCATGGTTTCTAAGGGGGTGTTTAATATTAGGGGGAAGGGATTATGTATATATATATATAGAAAACCATTTTAGTTAGTTCAATAAACATCCACAAACCGAATTGTTCATGTAGTTACCACCAGGAATCAAACATCATGACAGCTCGCTTGCTGGAAAATTTCCCGAAAAATGTTGGATTTCCCAGCCATGTTTGATTCCCAGAGGGTATCCCAAAAACAACATGGTTTGGCTAACTAGTTGCCAACTAGTTCAATATATCTATCCTAAACCCTTCATCATTACTGGTTTGTGGTGACTGGAACCACTGGAACCATGGAATTTTGAATGACTTTCCAGAAACAGTTGGGAATGGAAAATCATCCCAACTGACTCATATTTTTCAGAGGGGTAGGGTTGAAACCACCAACCAGATTATTATTAACCATCATTAACCATTATTAATAACCATTAATATTAACCATTATTAACAGTAGATTATCCATATATTAACCATATATTAACCATAGATTATCCATAGATTATCCATATATTAACCATTATTAACAGTAGAACCACATGGTTCAACCAACAAACAAACAGCTCTCGAAACTGGGGGGAGGTTGCCACCGAGCTGTACAAGTTGGTCGCTGAGTGAATCCAGCTGTGTTCCGCGTTCCGTAGGTTTCGGTGTAGCAAAGTTCACCCGGGATTCATGGGACCCATCTATTTTTTCGGAAACATCAAGCAGAATCGTTGATGAAACAATAGTTAATCTTACCATGAAATCTCTTGATGAATGTGGTACACTCTTTTTTTCATGACTAACATAGCTAACTGGAAAATTACCAATTTATAGATGATAAAAATTATGATTTACCTATTAAAAACACCATGATTTTCCATAGCTACGTTAAATAGCCAAAGGGTATATTTTTTGGAGTACCAATGGGACCCATTTTTAGTCATGATTTATCATTATTTTGGTGGGTAACCCGCCCTAAGTAGTTGACACTTCAAGGGATCGTTCTGAAAAGCATGGGAATGTGGATGCTAACTGACCCCCCCGGCATATCCAGAATGATGGAAAAAGACAGTCGATGGCTTTGTCAAGTCTGGAATGGCGTTTGGAATGCACAGTTGTCTGATTTTTTTTGTTTTGAGTTAATATAAACGAACATGACAGTGGGCACTCCTCTATGAGCAGATATTTGTAGATGATTTACCCAAAAAATATCCGATGACATAGGGATTTCCCATTGCCAGAGTTGCGGCTGCCACCAACGATAGAAGTTTGGAGTTTTTTTTGGTTCCTCCAACGAACTCGCTGCTGACCAGCGACCATCGAGCGTTCGTGGCTGTGTGGAAAAGATAGCAGCGCTCTGATGCGGCGGGGGGGTTTTGGTTTCGACGTCGATGTCAGAGGACTTTACCCTCTGGTTATGACTACCAAAAAACTATGGAAAGATCCACCATTTTTCATTGGAAAACTCACTATAAATGGTGATTTTCCATAGTTATGTTAAATTACCAGAGGGTACAGGGCCTGAAGCAGTTGGAGATGGTCCCGGGATCATTCCCAGCTGCCCGGGATATGTGTTTGACGGTGGCTAGGAACCAATGCAACGGCAGTGGAAACTGCTCACATGTGGGGGTTGTCCATAAATGGAGGTACACCAAAATGGATGGTTCGGAATGGAAAATTCTGTCAAAATGGATGATTTGGGGGTAGCCCTATTTTAGGAAAACTCCATGTGAATCCATGACTTGGTGACATGAGACTGGTTTTCCCCGCCTTCCCAACTTCCCGGCATCACTTTATGTGGAGAATTGACCAAGAGGGCAGCAATGTGGGGGCATGCAGCTTGGCCATCAAAGTTGACCCAAGATTGAAGGGCCAAGGGCTGTTTTGCGATCTTCGTATTTTTTAACAGCTTCAATATCCCACATGCTTCATGGTCATACCACGATTGATACGGAATTGTTATGGCTATGTATAAGGAATCCGATCCATGACCATAACTGGTTGGTGGTTTCAAACATTTGTTGTTTTCCATAATATATATTAATATATGGGATAATCCTTCCCCGTGACTAATATTTTTCAAGATGGTTAAAACCACCAACCACATAGCCCATGAATCCCAACTTGATGGCACAACGGCCGACTGTTGATGTGGATCTCCAGCGCGCTGCAGGTACTCATTGACTGCTCGAATGGCGCCAGCGATTATGGCAACAAGCACCGGGGCTCAGAGACGGTACTTCCATTCCCTTGGGGTCAAACATGGCAATGTCAGTGGGAATTCCTGTACCATATAAGGCCTTATTTTGTAGGGATATTCCCTTACATAGGCCTGAAAAATAGGCCTTATATATGGTAGGTACCTCCAATTTAGGATCCTGAAATGGCCATTGATATGGCAATGGAAAACCTCCCATTAAGAGATTCATTTCCCAGAGGACTAGACCTACATTTAGTTCTGGCATCTAGCCACATTTGGTTACTGGAAAGTTGTTGCAATACAACAACTACTAAACCAGTCTTTTTTTTCCCCGGTTATTTTATCTTAGTGGGAAAGGACCCACCAATGTTTGGTGGGATGAACATTTCAGACTGCCAGCTATCTTGGTTCACAGGTGGGTGTTGGCACATACCTACTTAACCGTTAACGCCAAAACTGAGGTTAACGATCTACCCAGATATAGCACTTACATATGTATATATATATATATATGTATGTTACATTGATATATTCATATGTAAATATATATAGTAAATATATGTTATACATATATATATATATTAATATCTATTAATTCGTATGTATAATTGTATATTATCTATACATATATATATATCTATATGTTACTATATTTCTGGATGAATAACGTAGCGACCTCATCAGGTCATGAACAAAATGATGTGGCCGAACTACTCTCATCCCAACCTGGCTGGTTAGTGAATTGAAAGTAGACATAGATGGAATGTGGTCCCATTGAATATATATATATATGTATAATTTTGTATATTTATATACCAATCAATCAAGGCCACCCCCTTTTTTCTGTTTTTTTGGTTTAGATTCACCCCATGAACTAGGTCGATATATCTACCATAAACCCAACCGTTCACCTAACTATAATTAAACCAACTGAACGATCACAATTCAACCATAAAATTCCATTGTTTAAACCACCACAATCATCCAATATTTTCTAGCGATTATAGCCACTATATCCCCATCATACCTCCATATTTTTGTTGCTCAAATCGTAATTTTTATTGGTTAAATTCAACTTCTGCTGGCTTAAACCTTCATTTGTTCATAATTTTTGTGGGTTACCCTCTGGTAGTTTAACATAGCTATAGAAAATCACCATTTTTAATGGGAAAATCAACTATAAATGGCCATTTTCAATTGCTATGTTAGTTTACCAGAGGGTAAACCTCCATTTTTTGGTGGATCAGTAGCCTTATCGGAAGCAAACACAGGAGGCTCAGCGACCTACCATCTTGGATCCGCCGAGCCAGGTTTGGAGAACCCTTGATCTGCGGTTGGACCAGGCTGAAGCGGATGCGATTTCAATAGGAATATCTACGTTCACCAGCTAAGATATCATACAATGTGAGGCCCCCCAGTGATGTTAGTTGGTTTAGATTCGCCCCAGTAACTATAGTTATAAGTACCATAAACCATAGTTATCATAGATCTGGGTAAATTTCATCACGACCTCACTGTTCTCCCGAACCCTGGAATCATGGTTAGTAAGGGGAATCATCCCAAAATGGCCTTAATTCAGGGTAGTGAAATATTATAATTTACCCAGATAGATATCTTGAGAAATAGGTGATCATTATTTGGGTCTGAAAATAGACCACCAAGTCCATTAGATTATCATCAGTTTCCCTATTAAGATAGCCATTTAGGGGTATATGCAATTTTCAGGCACACCGGCACACCCATTTAGGTGATTATTTTGGTGATTTTTACTATCCAACACAACATCTGAAAACTATAGCTATAACTGATTGGTGGTTTGGAACATGTTTTATTTTTCCATTCAGTTGGGAATGTCATAATCCCAACTGACTCATATTTTTCAGAGGGGTAGGTCAACCACCAAGCAGCTATATAAGTAACTAAGTATGATAATCAATGGGATTAAACCATATTAAACCATAAAATCACCATATATTTCGGGTAGGTCAACCACCAAGCAGATAAGGTAAAGCCAGATAGGTCAACCATCCCAGATCAGGGTTTAAAAGGCGTTGGATCTACCAGATTTCTCACGGATCATCCGGGGGATTTTTTGTGATCAATGTGATAATATTATCTATGTATATAAACGATATTGATCATGATACATATCTATCATATATTATCATATACTATCATATATACATACATTTTTATCTAGGTGATAAAAACACGAAATCCCTCCAGTAAACCTAAACTGTGGCAATCCCCCGGTTTAGGAACAGATGTGGAAAAGCGCAGGGTGAGGTCGCCAAGGAACATGATCTACATTTCTGGCAGATTTTGCACATCAATGGAGGTTTTTGTAGCGGGGAAAAACATCGAACTAAATGGTACAATGTGAGGCCCCCGTTCGATAGCTAAGTTGGTTTATAACTCCAATAAGTATGGTTTATGGTACTTATAACTATAGTTACTGGGGCTTTTGTTAACCAACTAACATCACTGGGGGGCATCACATTGTAGGTTTCCAGCAATCCATGTTTGATTGGCGGAGGGTAGATTGGGATTAATCAGGTATCCCGGATTGGGGTTTATGAAATTGGCTACGTCCCTAGTCACGGTTGGTTAATGGGATAGTTTGTGGCATTGGGTGTGCCATATTACTGGTTTATAAAGGGATGATCTTGGGGATTATCATTATTATTTAGGTGTCTATCTTGGGGATTATCCAATACATTTCAGGATTATTATCAGAATCCAGTACGGGAATCCCTATGAACCAACAAGCCCGGATTTTGCTAAAACCCCAAGGGCTGTTGAAAATTGGGATGGTGTCATTTTCGCAGACGAAATCGCTGAGATTTGGCGAGGTAGTCCTTCTAATCAATCAACCAGGAGGTTTTTACCAGGATGGTTTACCCCATTTTTAGACACACCCCAAATCCAATTAAGTTGGTTATATAAGTTATATATCTGCTTAACATGCCGCAATGCATCCCTAGAACATCTCCCATCATTTTGGTGATTCTGTGCCATCATTTTGGCTGGTTCACACCAGCTACATCTTTCATATGGAAGCCTTTTGAGTGGTTCCAAATCAAACCATATCATCTTGCAAAGCCCATGTTGAATTTAGATGGTGTAATAGACTCCATGTTCAATAAACCTTCTTCCCACAAAACCCAGAATCAACCTATTAAACACTACAATAGTTCCATTAAATCCCATTGAACCCTACTAACCCACATCCATTGTGGGAATGCATTATACTAACCTTATTAAATCCCATGAAATCCCATTGAAGTTCCACGAAATCCCATTAAATCCCCCATTAACCTCCATGAAATCCCTACTAAATCCCATCTGTTATAGGAATATATTATACGAATCTTCTTAAATCCCATGAAAGCCCATTGAAATTCCTCAACAAATCTCAGGTTCAATCCCATTAAATCCCATTAAACACCATTAAAATCCATCCAAATCCCATTAAACACCATTAAAATCCATCCAAATCCCATTAGAGTAGATCCCATCCAAATCCCATTCAACATTATTAACATCCCATTAAGTCACCTTTTTCAGTCCCCATGACATTCCCATTAGATGCCAGGTCCTGCGGCATGCGACTGCCCAGCGGTGAACGCTTCGAGTGGGTGAAGCCGATTATGCTCAGCGGAGGTCGAGTGAAAAATCATGGGTATGGGTCAAAATTAGGTACCCCAATAATTGGATGGTTAATACTAAACTAGACATTCACATCTGTGGTCCCACATCGGTCTTCCATTTTGACCCACATCCATATGGGAAACTGGTGGAAAACCATGGGACACTTGGAACATGTCGAGTGAATCCATGACCGAAAATGGTTTACGGGAAAAATGTAACCGGAAACCCCCCATATTTCATGGTAAAAACCCATGGGTTTCCGGTTAAGATTTTTTCCCAACAAAACCAATCCAATGAGTGAAACCATGACCGAAAATGGTGATGTCTCCAGGAACAAAACATCGGGCTTTCCATGGGATTTCATCGCTGAGAAACTCATGATAGCGAACGGTCAGTGAACTTGGAGAACTGCTAGGTTTATGACCTGGGGGATATTCATCAGGTTGGTGGTTTGGAACATTTTTTATTTTCCATAATATATGGGATACTCCTTCCCATAGACTAATATTTTTTCAGAGGGGTTGAAACCACCAACCAGTCATGGTTGATTACCCTCTGGTAATTTAACATAACTATGGAAAGATCCACCATTTTTTAGCTGGGTAAATCCACGAACTAAATCACTATTTTCAATAGCAAACTGTTAAATTACCAGAGGGTAAATATTGGAATCCGATGTCTGGATGACCTGGCAACAAAGACCAAAACCGATTAGGGACAATCCCGAAAGTAAGTTGTTTGGTTTTCACGGGGCTTCATTAAATAAGAATCCTCAACAGGATTGAAAGAACAAGCATTTGGGTATTGGTCAAAACTAGATGTTTGTTTTGTTGACTTGCCGCAGTTTTTGGTCGTTGCCAGTCAGAATCCAGACATCTGATGTAATTACCCCATATATCCCAATATCTAACCCAGAACCATATGTAGTCTTTTTTAGGTTGTTTGTTGGGAAGTTGTGCAACCATTCATGGCTGATTCTACAATTTTCATCATACTAGCCTGCCCGGTGGGAACAAGACACAGAGAAGCAGTTGCCGTGTTTGCTTATTCGAGGATATGATTGGATATTGACTATAGATTATAAACAATGACATTTCCAATATGAATGATCGATTTCAATGATTTCTCAACGTAAATGAGAGATTTTCCATTATTTTCTGTTGATATGGAACATCAACATCATCAGCGCCAACTTTTTTTTTTATCCAAACGCCTAACCATTTTTGCTCCAAACTTTCACTTAGTACGTTGGTTTTTTTTCATGTTTTTTCTCCGCCGGATCTGTGTGTGAGGCCTTGGTCAAATGGATCATGGACATTTGGTGAAGGAAGACCCCCAGGATCGTCCCAGATCATCCCACACGGGGGACGTCCGGCTGGGATAAAAATGATGCTACCAGAGCTGGGAAAATCGTCAGACTTTTTTTGGTGAAAATGGAAGATATTCCCATAATGAGGTTGATGATTTATATATATTTATATAATGTTGTTAAAAGAATGTCATAAATAAACCATCCCCAAGTCATCATCATTTTTATGGGTGGTATGTTTACCATTAAAAATGTGGTGGTAAAAATGGCATTGTTTTACCCAGAGGGTTTCGAAGGGACCATGGTGAAAACGTCGCAAACGTTGGGAGAGGCTTGCCCACCATGCCGGATGTGCATCCCAGGTTTCCTTTGTGGGTAATAACAAGATTATAACCCAGAATCAGCCCAAGAATTTCTAGGTTGTTCATGATACCCCAATAAATAGGTGATACAATCAGATATACAATCACAGAATCACATAGAATAATTTATCAGATAATACCCCAATCAAGTGGGTATATTGGAGAGATACCCCAGTAATTGATAGGTTAATAACTGGTTGGTGGTTTGGAACATTTTTTATTTTTCCATATATTGGGAATGTCATCATCCCAACTGACGAAGTCATATTTTTCAAGATGGTTAAAAACACCAACCAGATAAGTTATTCACCACTTGCTCATTGGGATGCTCCAGGTACTGCTACATTGGACCTATCAATACTATTGGACCATTGAAATCACCTGGATTTTTTTGGATTTATCGAAGGTTTTCTTCATGGCGAGAAAGCCCACTTTTTCATGGTTAAACTGGCAATTTCCCAGTAAATCCCATTAAAGATCCTATTGATTCCTATTAAGTCACCATAAAATCCATAAATGGAAACCCCGCATATATCTTACCCTCTGGTAAACATACAAAAAACTATGGAAAGATCCACCATTTTTTGTTGCTGGGTAAATCAACTATTTTGACTGGGCCATTTTCAATAGCAAACTGTTTGTTTACCAGAGGGTATCTGCCGTTTTTGCCTGGTTGCATTTTCATTTTTCATGGTGATTCATGGCTGAAGACCCATTCTTCATGGTTTTCACTCCCCTTTTTTCCATGGTGAAAGAGCCATTTTTCATGGTTCATATCCCACTTCTGGTGAAATCACCATTTTTAAACCTGGTGTTCGAACCTCATTTCCACCATGTTTGAACTGGTTTTTCAGATGGTAAAATCCGAACATTTCTGGGTGAACTCCTCCATTCTTTGCCCCTACCCTCTGGTAATTTGTTACATAGCGAACTGGAAAATCACCATGTTTCATGGGAAAATCCACTATAAATGGCCATTTTGAATAGCTATGTAACAAATTACCAGAGGGTATCTCCCAGTAAATCCCATAAAACTCCATTAAATCGTCACCATAAACCCCCATTAAATCCTCCATTCTTTGCCCCTATCTCCCAGGCTGGTCAGTTGGTGGTGAAGATCGGCGGCCCTGCGTACCGCATCGGCGTGGGAGGCGGGGCCGCCTCCTCCATGGTGGCCGGCGACAACCAGGCGGGTCCGACGTGGACTTCCGAGGGGTTCCGTTCCGGGCGACGTGGAAATGGACACGGTTAAACCATGGGAAAAATGGAGGTTTAAGCATTGACAACTACTACCACTAGGCTTAAGTCGTATCAATCGACCTGAAGTCGTATCACACCTGCGTGCGCGCAGTGTTTCGTATAGATTTTGATAGTTCTTTCTTTGATGGGTTATTGATTCGAACACTTTTTCATCGCTGTGCGCAATGTTTTGTTGACATGATTCTATTTGACCCTACTAGCCCTAGCGTTAAGTCGTATCAGCTCGTAGAAGTTGTATCGGGAGGCCGTGCGCCTGGAAAAAGTTCAAGTTTGGCATCACCACAACTTTTAGTAATTGGACGATTTCATTGTTTTGGGGCCGTGCGCCTAGAAAAAGTTCAATTTTTGTATTGCGTTGATTTATAAAACTTATATTATATTTCATTATTCTTTCAACGGGGCAAACGCTGGTTGCTGCTTTCTGCTTGCTTTCTGCTTGCTTGCTGCTTGCTGCTCCTTGCTGCTGCCTCCTGCTGCTGCTGCTGTTGCTGCTGCCTGCTGCTGTTGCTGCTGTCCTGCTGCTGCTGCTGCCTGCTGCTGCTGCGGCTTCCTTCTGCTGCTGCTGCTGCCTCCTGCTGCTGCCTCCTGCTGCTGCCTCCTGCTGCTGCCTCCTGCTGCTGCCTCCTGCTGCTGCTGCTGCTGCTCCTGCCTGCTGCTGCTGCTGCCTCCTGCTGCTGCTGCTGCTGCCTCCTGCTGCTGCTGCTGCTTCCTCCTCCTGCTGCTGCTGCTGCTTCCTCCTCCCTCCTCCTCCTGCTACTGCTGCTGCTTCCTCCTGCTGCTGCTGCAAACATTTCGCCGAAAAAGAAAATTACAGTCTCGGTCGCCTTGTTTGGCGCTGGCGGGAGATACGGGCGGGAGACGCAAGCAGAGAGAGGGAATGTTTACAGAAGGCAGAACTTATGAAACATTCAAGCGGAAGCGGATGTTGACAGCGGTGTGCCACTGGGTTTTCAGATTTTAACGTTGTTGATATGATGATGTTGCCCATAGCTATTACATGGAAATCTATGTTTGTTAGGAAACAAAGTTAAAGATCTGGGAGGCCGTGTGCCATGGTGATTCCTAAATATATCCTTTGAAAACATAGTTTAAACATATGTGAATACCTCAGTGTGCGCAATGTTTTCTTCATTTTTGGAGATATAACAACATTCCTTGAAAGCCGGTGTGCCATTGGGATTTTGATATTTTGATGTGACTTTTGCCCAGTTGATGTGACTTTCTTCCAACTCGCTGTTACATGGGGTTGATGTGACTTCTGCCCAACTGATGTGACTTAAACCCTTCGCTCGTAGGGATTTTATATGATTTTATGGGATTTAATGGATTAAAATGGACATATCATCAGATAATATCAGATAACTAAACATGGCTGGCTGGAAGATCCCCGAACTAAACAATGGGAACATCGTGGAAAAAACATAGGAACATCATGGAACATCCCCGAACTGAATAGAGGTTTATAGCCTTTATAGCTGTTAGAATCATCAAACTAAATGGGGGAATGTTGATGGAATTGACGCACGGATTATAGTGGTTTTGATGGGGTTTTAGCTACGCCAATAATGCAATGATGTAATGTTAATAATAAGCATGTAATCATAGAATGTTTTTTTATTTAAAACCTGTAATCATGCTATAATAAGATATATATAATAGTGTATATAATGATGTATATAAACCTGCTATGTTTATGATGTAGTCAGCTATCATGAACCTGTGATGTGAATGAGATTGAAGCATCAATGACAGTGTCAGACGATGGGATTTAATCACCAGATGTGGGTTTTTGACACAATGAACAAATGGAACATTATTATGATTTCTAATTGTGATTAGGGTATTAATAGGGGGTATACTACCTGGTTTATCGAGGATGATTAATAGTCCATAATAGGGATATCTATATTCGTCAACCAGTTTATCGGGATGGGATACGGGTATATTCTATGGCTCACATGGGTTTCTAAAATCTCCCCAGTTATAAGTTTGTTTACAATTTCCTTTACCCTCTGCTAAACGTTTACATAACTATGGAAAATCACCATTTTCAATGGGAAAATCCACTATTTCTATGGCTATTTTCCAGTTCGCAAACTGTTAGTTTACCAGGCCGGGTATCTACTTGGACCATCCCACTTATGGAATAACTTGTTCGTAAGTGGGGTTAGTTCCACTTATAAATATAGATCACCTGACGAATTGGGGACTCTCGTGGCCCCCAGTTAGGCTTCTTTTGACGATCCTCCGGGTAGTTAGAGTACCCAATTTTGACCTGTACCCATATATACCTATATCTATCACAAGGTATATATATATTATATTGATTGAACCACCATTAAATCACCATTAAACACCATGAATTCCTCTATTCAACCCGATTAACCCCCATGAAATGAGCTACTGTATCACCATGTCACAGATCTTCCCCCATCATCTTCCCCCATCGGAGAGCCGGTAGGAAGAGTTAGATTTCAACGCGGTGCAGCGTGGCGATGCAGAGATGCAACAGAAGGCCCAGCGTGGCGATCGGAGATAGGTTAGATCGACTTCGACAGGTTTGAAACCACAGGGGGAGTACCCTCTGGTAAACGTTTACATAGCGAACTGGAAAGATCCACCATTTTTAATGGGAAAATCCACTATAAATGGTCATTTTCAATAGCTATGTTAAATTACCAGAGGGTACAAGAATAAACCAACCATTTGGAAATTCAATCACTAACATAGGTGATTTAATGGGATTTTATGGTGACTCAATAGAAATTTTCATAGGATCTAATGGGATTTACTGGGTAATCGAATCTAATGGTGGTACAATAATGCCATAAACCAACCATTTGGAAATGGTAACCATACAACCTGTAAAAATAGTGATTTTATGGTGACTTAATAGGATCTAATGGGATTTACCCTCTGGTAAACATACAAAAAACGATGGAACATCACAATTTTATAGCTGGGTAAATCAACTATTTCTATGGTCATTTTCGATGTTAGTATGTGGGTAAAACAATGTCATTTTTACCACCCATGACTGGGAATGGTTAACATACCACCTATATAAATGGTTTATTATTGTTTTACCCACATTAGTATGGATTAATATGGGTTAATATGGGGTAATACGGGTTAATAATGTTAGCTACTAATGATATGGTTAATTCATGGTTATCTCCGGGATCAGTGCCAGGGTTTGGCTCAAGTTGCTCAAGTGCTTGGCCCCCAGATTTCGTTTTCTGCTGGATTTCTCCACGCTGGTTCCAATCTCAATTGGCAAAATCCTGGCTCTGATGATTTCTGATGTTTGGCCCGCTTGGCACCCCAGGTCATGTTCAAAAATAAAGGAACAGGAGAAAAAACAACACCTGTCAGCACACAAAGCTTGTGTTTTTCAGGCATGCTGCATGTAGACGTCGCTTTGCCGAGTGGTAAGGGCACAAGTCTTGCCATTCTGCAGTCCTCCAAAGTAGGGGACTTGAGGATTCTGGCGCAGAAGTCCTTGGAAAAGACGTCCTTGTGGCTAGTCACTGCAGAGGGCCGTGACCTGGACCCATTGGAATCCCTGCAGTCTGCAGGGCTTAGGGATGGCGACCGCCTCACAGCCGTGGTGCAAATGCCAAAGGTCGCCGCAACAAACACAGCTTTCGCGTTGTGGTTTTCTGGAGCTGATGGAATCGCTACCTGGGGTAGTTCAAGATCTGGTGGTGACAGCTCTGAAGTCCAAGGGCAGCTGAGACATGTGAAGCAGGTGCGGGCGACGCGTTACGGCGCCTTTGCTGCCTTTGCCGCGATCTTGGCCGATGGATCAGTGGTTACCTGGGGTGATCGAACGCGAGGTGGTGACTGCTCAGCAGTTCAAGATCAGCTGAGAAACGTGCAGCAAATTCAGGCCACGGACACTGCATTTGCAGCAATCTTGGCCAATGGATCCGTCGTTACCTGGGGCAATCCAGATGATGGGGGTGACTGCTCTGCAGTTCAGGGTCAGCTGAAGAGCGTGCATCAAATTCAGGCTGCAGAGAGCGCATTTGCTGCAATCTTGGCCGATGGATCAGTGGTTGCTTGGGGCGATCCAGACTGGGGTGGTGACTGCTTGGCAGTTCGAGATCAGCTGAGAAACGTGCAGCAAATTCAGGCCACAGGTGGCGCATTTGCTGCGATCTTGGCCGATGGATCGGTGGTTACTTGGGGCGATCCGGGCTTTGGTGGTGACTGTTCTGCAGTTCGAGATCAGCTGAGAAACGTGCACCAAGTTCAAGCCACAGGTGGCGCATTCGCCGCTCTCTTGGCCGATGGATCGGTGGTTGCTTGGGGCGATCCAGGCTATGGTGGTGACTGTTCTGCAGTTCGAGATCAGCTGAGAAACGTGCAGCAAATTCAGGCCACAGACACTGCATTTGCAGCAATCTCGGCCGATGGATCAGTGGTTGCTTGGGGCGATCCACACGGCGGTGGTGACTGCTCAGCAGTTCAAGATCAGCTGAGAAACGTGCAGCAAATTCAGGCCACAGACAGCGCATTTGCTGCAATCTTGGCCGATGGATCAGTGGTTGCTTGGGGCGATCCAGACTGCGGTGGTGACTGCTTGGCAGTTCAAGATCAGCTGAGAAACGTGCAGCAAATTCAGGCCACAGACAGTGCATTTGCAGCAATCTCGGCCGATGGATCAGTGGTTGCTTGGGGCGATCCACACGGCGGTGGTGACTGCTCGGCAGTTCGAGATCAGCTGAGAAACGTGGAGCAAATTCAGGCCACAGCTCGTTCATTTGCGGCGATCTTGGCCGATGGATCAGTGGTTTCCTGGGGCCATGGATCCTTTGGGGGTGACAGCTCTGCAGTGCAAGATCAGCTCAAGAATGTGCAGTAGGTTCAGGCCACACATGGTGCGTTTTCTGCGATCCTGGCATCCAAAGCAATGTGGTAAACCATCCCTGCAAGGTGCCCCCCAATTATAAGTTGGTTTGTAACCCATTAAGTATACAGTAGATATATCATGATATATCCCCAATATTTCCCAATAAACCATAGTTGTCTAGGGGGCAGCAGCTTGTGATATTGCCATAGATGGTAAAAGACCACCCAGTGGCTTAAGTTCGGCGTTTCGTTCGGCGCGTCCGTCGGTGTCTCAAGAAGTCCGAAAAAGACGCCATGCCATCCAAGATGCACACAATCAAATGACACCAAGCTGGAGAAAAACAGGTTACCCTCTGGTAATTTAACATAACTATGGAAAATCACCATTTATAGCGATTTTTCCCATGAAAAATGGTGATTTTCCATAGTTATGTTAGTTTACCAGAGGGTAGTCTGAACATATCAATTCTAAAAACAATTACAAAGTGGGGCCTCCTCGACAGCTAAGTCAGTTTTTTACTCCAATAACATCCAATAACAATGGTTTATGGTATACTTATAACTATACTTACTGGTGTTTATAAACCAACTTATAACTGGGGGGGCCACACATTATGTGTATGTCTATATATATACACACACATACACTCGAGAGGGCATCCGCGGCAGTATCACTTCATGGGATAATGAGATATGGGGGTTTCTTAAGTCATGGGGGAGACCTAAGTCAGCATGGTTGTTTCAATGCTAAGTCATGGTCATCCAAGACTTGGATGATTCGGGGGTTCCATTTTAGGAAGCGTCCGGCGAACTTTTAGGCCAAGTCGCACCAGAAATGGCAGCTGAGGTTCACCAAAAACATCAAAATTTCCACAATTGTGGCTTACTGATATCATAATGATAATATCTATGTATATATAATATATATATATAAGTATCTATAACATTCTATAACGTATGCATCTATCATATACATCATATAGCATTATCTGTATTTCCCTTCCCCCACATTTTGGAACATGGCCAAGATGATAAGCATCAATTGACTGAATCCTGACACCGAAGCAAATCATCAGGACCAGTGAACAGAACCTCCCCAAACTGAATACTATTTCAGGTTGCCAACCTATGGCGATTTGGATAATTCGGCCAGAACAACTCCGAAAGCGAAACATGGAAACCAGAAACGGCCTTGATTTCTCATGATGAAGACGTCACATTTACTGATCCCAATCTTCAACGATTTTCCCGGTGAAATTTTGCAGAGGTCCTTCTATTTCCCGAGTTTTGGGGGCCACATGCTTTAAGAGGGGGTCAACTTCTGCATTTCAATGATGTTTCTTGAGAAAAAATGTGGCTTTGTCTATAGGCTACCCCCAAAATCACCCAAAATTGATTGTTGACTCATCCTTTCCCTCAAAGACATGCCATTTCATGGGGCCCGGCCCACCCATCAGACCATGTTGGAACAGCCGTGGTCAGGTGAATCGCGTGGTTCGGGCCTGTGTGGAGCTTGGGTACCGTGCCCGCAGCGCCGGAGGGAGGACTTATCTGTTGGAGAGTAGATCTGTTCATAGGGGTTGGGGGGTTAGTATACCCTCCGGCAATCAATTGGAAATCCACTAGAAATGGGGCTTTCAATAGGAAAATCACCTATGAATAGTGTATTTTCCAGCCAGCCATGTTTGATTACCGGAGGGTACCCGTAGTATATCTATTCATATCCCCAAGAGTTGGGTGATGTGAAAAATTAGAGCATTTACCAGTTACTAACGACTTTGTTCCGTCCAGAGGCGATGAGCATCCTCCCCCATTTGGGGCTTAGTATAGCTATGGGGGGAATATCACCGAATACCTATGGCATGTTGAACTTCCCCGGCTTTTGAGAATAGGGCGTTCTAAATCGAGAAATTGGGGTTGCTATTGATTAGTACTATCAGTACTGGTATCTATTGAAA